TTATCCTGTTGGCTATCTTCGTTTTTAGTAATAATTTGAATAAAAATGAAAACTGAGGCTGTGAAAAATCTTGCGGGTATTTGGTTATTAAAAGCTAGGGTAGGTAAGAATGGAGAAACCAGCTCGAGTGCTCTAGAATTTGAAACTACGCAGCTGAAAAAAATCTGCCCCTTCCTTCAGACTTCCTTACAGAGCCCCTCCTCCAACACACACGAACGCGCACATGACCAATGAGGGCACGAGATAAGTTTGTGCACAGATGGAAGGCTGACAGGCAGGTAGGCCATCCAGTTATTTTAGCCGGGCCGGCTCAGATGATTGGTCGTGCTTTTTACAGCGCCACGGCTTCCACAGATGATTTTTTTTAATGTATTTATTGTCAAAGCATTTAAGATATTGATTGCTATCGGGATGTTAAGAGCATTCCATGGAATATAACAAAAAGTGTATCTGAAATAAATTACATACCCCAACTTTAACTGATTCTGCACGTTCTAAAACCAACAAGCTGCTCGAGCAATGTTTTAGGAGTATCCTGTTAAAGGGGGCAAATATGATTGTAGCCTTTGCAGACCATTTACATGCACAAAAACCTATATAACTGACTACAGGAAAAGGAAAACCCCCATAATCATATTAGGGCCTCTTTGAGACTTGAATGACAGGATGATTCATTTTTACAGAATACGTTTAGCTTACTTGCTAAGAGTTGAGTGTGAATATTGATACCACAATCATGTTGGCAGCAAGAATATGAGGTTGAGTCTGCAGTTGGTTAGCTTAGCTTCGCATAAAGACATACATTAGGAGAAAGAAACTAGCCGGGCTCTGTCCAAAGGTACCAGCACCTCTAAAACTCCTGGGGCAGGGGTTGTGTCTCTACTAGTATTTACAAGGCAACCAATGGAGACTATTGGAAGTAACTTCTGTGAAAAAGGATTTCTCTTTGTTTTTAACACTTTAGTTTTAGTGTTAAGCAAATGAGCCGAGTTGTAATGTTTCTTTCTGTTACATTTTGATAAGAGCCATGCTAGCTGTGTTTAGCCTTTGTTCTAAACTAAGCTAATTGGCTGCTGGTAGTAGCTTCAAATAATTAGCACAGACATTTAAGTATTATCAATCTTCTCCTCTAACTGTCAAAGAAACGATTAAGCTGATTTCTTAAAAACTGTAAGATGATCTTAAACATTTTAAAAGTGAACTGCCTTTTATGGTTACATGATGAAACAGGAGAATAAGCTGGTTACTGCACATTTATCCCCACCTTGATGTAACCTTCAAGCCTCAGTGTAGTATCT